AAGTAATTATAGGTTTGAAATACAGAAGTCATGAAGCAGGAACATATATTCTAGCTATTGTTACACAAATGAGTTCAAAGGCAAACTCAAAAAGACATCTGACCAGTTAGGGTGTGCTTATTATTCATTCATCAGACATACTCACCCATCAGAGGTCAAAGGCTGTTCACAAAATGTGGCTCTTTTCAGTTGTCTTAATGCAACTGTAAAATAAATCAAACTGAATTAAACAAATGTAGTTATTATACAGTGGGGCAAAAAAGTATTTAGTCAGCCACCGATTGTGCAAGTTCCCCCACTTAAAATGATGACAGAGGTCAGTAATTTGCACCAGAGGTACACTTCAACTGTGAGAGACAGAATGTGAAAAAAAATCCATGAATCCACATGGTAGGATTTGTAAAGAATTTATTCGTAAATCAGGGTGGAAAATAAGTATTTGGTCACCTCAAACAAGGAAAATCTCTGGCTCTCACAGACCTGTAACGTCTTCTGTAAGAAGCTTTTCTGTCCCCCACTCGTTACCTGTATGAATGGCACCTGTTTGAACTCATCATCTGTATAAAAGACACCTGTCCACAGCCTCAAACAGTCAGACTCCAAACTCCGCCATGGCCAAGACCAAAGAGCTTTCGAAGGACACCAGGAAAAGTATTGTAGACCTGCACCAGACTGGGAAGAGTGAATCTACAATAGGCAAGCAGCTTGGTGTGAAAAAATCAACTGTGGGAGCAATCATCAGAAAATGGAAGACATACAAGACCACTGATAATCTCCCTCGATCTGGGGCTCCACGCAAGATCTCATCCCGTGGGGTCAAAATGATCATGAGAACGGTGAGCAAAGATCCCAGAACCACACGGGGGGACCTGGTGAATGACCTGCAGAGAGCTGGGACCAAAGTAATCAAAGGTCACCATCAGTAACACACTACAACGGCAGGGAATCAAATCCCGCAGTGCCAGACGTGTTCCGCTGCTGAAGCCAGTGCATGTCCAGGCCCGTCTGAAGTTTGCCAGAGAGCACATGGATGATACAGCAGAGGATTGGGAGAATGTCATGTGGTCAGATGAAACCAAAGTAGAACTTTTTGGTATAAACTCAACTCGTCGTGTTTGGAGGAAGAAGAATACTGAGTTGCATCCCAAGAACACCATACCTACTGTGAAGCATGGGGGTGGAAACATCATGCTATGGGGCTGTTTTTCTGCCAAGGGGACAGGACGACTGATCCGTGTTAAGGACAGAATGAATGGGGCCATGTATCGTGAGATTTTGAGCCAAAACCTCCTTCCATCAGTGAGAACTTTGAAGATGAAACGAGGCTGGGTCTTCCAACATGACAATGATCCAAAACACACCGCCCGGGCAACAAAGGAGTGGCTCCGTAAGAAGCATTTGAAAGTCCTGGAGTGGCCTAGCCAGTCTCCAGACCTCAACCCCATAGAAAATCTGTGGCGGGAGTTGAAAGTCCGTGTTGCTCGGCGACAGCCCCAAAACATCACTGCTCTCGGGAAGATCTGCATGGAGGAATGGGCCAAAATACCAGCTACTGTGTGTGCAAACCTGGTAAAGACCTATAGTGTTAGGTGACGGCTGTGTGCGGACAGGGATAGGACCCAAGATGCAGACTCCAAAGCCAAACTTAAACCAAAACAGCTTTAATGCTGAACGCAAACATAACATAACTGCAAAAAACTCAAATAAACTAACACCGGTGGACTGGCAAAAACACACAGCAAATAAACGGTAGATCACGACATGGACACAGAGAAACACAGGGCTTAAATACACAGAGGGAGCAATCAGGGAATGAGTAACAGGAGGGAAAAACAGCTGGGGCAAATCAGAAATGACGAGACAAAAGGAAGCGTAAACTGAACACACTGAGATAAGACAGAGACCTTCAAAGTAAAACAGGAAACACATAACACAGACTCACATGCAGGCACTACAGAGGGAACAGAGACGTGGGACCAGGGTAGACACAAACACTGACTGAACACGGGATATAGGAACTAAGGATACACAGAGACGCGAACTAGACAAGGGGATACTGGTGATAGGGGAGACAGAGCAACTAAAGAAGACAGAGACATAAACCATAAGACAGAACTCAAAGAAACCAAAGACTAAAAAGTCTAAATAATATAATAAACTCAAATACCCTGGGTCAACGACCCAGGCATCCTAACATATAGTAAACGTTTGACCTCTGTTATTGCCAACAAAGGTTATGTTACAAAGTATTGAGTTGTATTTTTGTTATTGACCAAATAACGGACGTCTTCACCTCTATATATAACACCTCGTTGTCCTGTTCACTGGTACCATCCTGTTTCAAAGCAGCAACCATCGTTCCCATCCCAAAACAGTCAAATGTCACATGTCTGAACGATTTCAGACCTGTGGCACTCACCCCCATTCCCGCCAAATGCCTGGAGAGACTGGCCATTAAACACATCAGAGCTGCTTTTCCACCATCCCTGGACTCGCACCAGTTTGCATACAGGGAGAACCGGTCAACCGAGGATGCGATCGCCACAGTGCTGCACACATTACTGAAGCACTTGGAACACAGGAACACCTATGCACGGCTCCTCTTTGTAGACTACAGCTCGGCTTTTAATACCATCCGGCCATACAAACTCCGTCCCAAACTCCGCCAACTGGGACTCAACTCCTCTCTGTGCAACTGGATTGTGGACTTCCTCACTAACCGTAGACAGAGTGTCAGAGTGGGTAAGAACACCTCTTCCACCCTTGTGGTCAACACCGGTGCCCCTCAGGGGTGTGTTCTGAGCCCTCTGCTATACACTCTCTTCACCCATGACTGTATTTCCTCCTGCGCGTCCAATCTCATTGTTAAGTTTGCAGATGACACTACAGTGCTCGGACTTATATCCAACAATGATGAGATAAAATATAGGACAGAGGTGCAACAACTAGAGTCATGGTGCCACGACAATAACTTGGTCTTAAACACCAAAAAGACCAAGGAGATCATTGTAGATTTCCGGAAGAGGGGTCATAACAACCATCTGCCTCTCTTCATTGGCAGTGAGGCGGTGGAGAGGGTGAGCAGTTTTAAATTCTTGGGGGTAACTGTGACCGAGGACCTGTCCTGGGGCAACCATATCACCTCAGTTGTACGGAAGGCCCAACAGCGCCTCTACTACCTGAGGAGACTGCGGAGCGCACACATTCCCAGATCTCTGATGTTGAACTTCTACAACTGTGCCATCAGCAGCGTTCTGACGTATGGATTTCTAGTGTGGTTCCCCAGCTGCACCAAGGCCGATCAGCAAGCACTCCAGCGGGTGGTGAAAGAAGCTGGCAGAATTATTGGAACAAGTCTGCCAGAGATCAGTAATATCTTCCCAACTCGCTGTCTGAGGAGGGTGCACAGTATCCTGCGGGACCAACATCACCCTGCGCGCCACCTTTTCCATCTGCTGCCCTCAGGGAGAAGGTACAGGTCTATACAGGCCAGAACATCCAGACTGGCCAACAGCCTGTATCCACAGGCTGTGAGGCTCCTGAACTCTCTGCCCCCCTCTCACGGACAATAACCATATCCAACTTCTTAATAGCAATGAACTGGTCTGCATTGGTGCATCATATCTTTATTCTCTTCCCCCTCCTGCCCCCCCCCCTCTTTCTTAAATAGATAACTATCATATCTGATATCATATCTCACAGTACAATAATATTGAATGGGTTGCATTGTTGTATTTTGTCATGTTTCTCAGGTCTTTGTCTGAATTTCTACGAACATTATTGCTAAGGATTGTCTTATTGCATTGGAGTCACACTGGGTTAAATATGTACACTTGGGTTTTAAGGGGTATTTATTATTTTCTTCTTTTTTTTTGGGTTGTATGGAAGCCCCAAACGCAATTTCATTGTTCTTGACAATGACAATAAATAAATAAATACTAAATACTACTTATTTTCCACCCTGATTTACGAATAAATTCTTTACAAATCCTACCATGTGGATTCATGGATTTTTTTTTTTCACATTCTGTCTCTCACAGTTGAAGTGTACCTCTGGTGCAAATTACTGACCTCTGTCATCATTTTAAGTGGGGGAACTTGCACAATCGGTGGCTGACTAAATACTTTTTTGCCCCACTGTATCTCCAAATTCCTCATATTAGCAATAAGGGGTCAATGTTGTCCTTGTGTCTGTGTGGCTTCTCTCTGGTACAGTAAGAAGGCATTTAGTTGGCTATGAGTATGAGTGGTTGTCTATCTCCCTGTGTTAGCCCTGCAATAGACTGTCGACCTGTCCAGAGTCTACCTTATCTCACGCTCTATGACAGCTGGGGTAGGTCATAGATAAGCGGAAGAAGATGGATGGATGGTGTCATGACCGGCTAAACCGGAGGCTAATGGACTCAAGCGCAAGAACTGCACAAGGACAGCAGTGTGGTCCTTGTGGTTCACACACACAAACACACAAACATGAGTCTTATGGTGGAGAGGGGATAAGGGTCGATTGCTTGCGGCACGCAATAACGGTTTCCACTGCACCGGGCAAAGTGCATCGCCAGTGCGCCAGCGAGGAGTACTGTCATCGGTGAGAAAGAAGGAGCCATCAGAGAGTGAGCAGGCAGGTGTTAGTTTGAGGAGGACGATCAGTGAAGGAAGCAGTTGAATGTCCGATTGGTTAAGGAAAGAGAGATAACCAACGTTCTGTGGAGAAAGGTGAGTATGATGGCTAAACCACCGGCAGAGGCAGACACTAGAGATAATGAACACATTGTTTGTTCTCAAAGGAAATTATTACAAAAGGATCAGCAAAGAGACTGGCCTGTTTAGCACACTGAGTTAAGTGATAATCTGACAAGGTCTGAGTGGCTGAGCTGGTCCCTTTGCACTGCAGCTGATTAAACTGATGAGGCACAGGTGGTCCAGCCAGGGAGTGGAAAAGGCTCCAATTCCACCCTAAAGGGGTGGAGAGCTTCTGCACTTCCAAGACAAAAGATCAAAACACAGATAGACCAGTGGCAGACAGTAATGGGTGGCTGGATGAATGAATACGAAGCCAGTGCAGAAGTCCCAAAAGCAGCAATTCAACATGAAATGATGATTTGATACTGCCTCTAAAAAGTCCAACTCCAGGGAAGAACTTCATCTATAGCTGGTTTGGCCCTTCAAAACAAATGTACAGTGGGTGAGTTATTTTTTTTTGTGTAAATCCCTATATTTGGAATTTTTCAAGGTTTATAGTTAGGTGTGTTAAAATGTCAGGTGTGCCGACACGAGTAAATGTAGCCAACAGCTGTCTGCTGAGCTCTAAGTCCTCTAATTTAAGTAATTGAGCTGGACCTCTCCACTGTGTTTGTGGCGCTGATGGCTTTTTAATGGAAGTAATGCAACTTGCTGTGAAGTATACTCTCACAAAGAAGTCTGTAGTCATGTTTTGGTGTGTGAAAATGAAATTTTAATAGTCTGCGTTGTACTCATAATACACTTAATAGCTGCAGCTTGCTAACTTGATAGTAATAGTTGATAACTTAGCATTCCACCCTCTCATTTAAATATGGTCTGTCAATGCCATAAGGCTCAACTGAAAAGTTTTAAAGATCACAAATGTCATGGTGGTCACATCCATCCTTCATATTCTTATATTCAAAAGTACATGTGTACAGAATAGATTCTTAAAAACATGGATTTAAAATAAACTCAAATGCTTATCATCAGCCTAAATTACAGTTTGTATTTAATAACATCTAAACTTAATCATCTCATATATAACATTATTAGGCCTATTCATTTTTGTTATTTCAAAACCTACTGAGTCATTCTCAACGCTCACACACCTAGTGATTCAGATCAAATCAGAATAATAAAAGGCGTACCTACATTACAGATTGGTCTAACCAAAAGCTAACACCATCACCCTCACTGCATGCAAGGACTCATTATTAATGTATTATGCAGAAATGAATACCGGATGCTGGACTCTTCAATTTAAGGCCTGTAGAGCATACGCATTAGTATCCTTCATTTGCTGCACTGCACACACATCAATGGGAGAAAACAGTCTTCTAGTCCTAATGAACTGAATGGATCAAATTCTGTAAATGAAAACAATATATATATATATATACACACACACACACACACACACACACACACACACACACACACACACACACACACACACACTATTTGGATCTACATTTGGTCACATTTAAGAATATTAATGTAGGAGACGCAGTGGCTGTCAACAAACAGAATATTTATTTTGAGTGATTACATTTCATATATTCATAAGGAATAAATAAGTCAAAGCAAACACCTGCACCTCCTCAGCAGTGATTGTAAAGTAACTGCGCTAACAACAAAAGCATCCATTTGACTTCATTGCATAAAGAAAATGATTTATTATAGTGACCACTTCCACAAGTCTTAAGCAAAAGCAATTTAACATTGTAATGTTGTTAGATTACCTCTGAAAGCAGCATATTAGAACCCAGAGAGATAATTTCAAAGCACAACAGGAGAGCTCTGGGGAAGGTGGAAAGTAATTTCAGAATAAGTGATCAGCTCATCTGGCTATTGGCAGATATTACACTCGGGAGATTTGACTCAACCTCGACAGTGACAATGCAGGTGACGCGTATTAAGAGCTGTGCTGAATATTTCACTGTGATCTAAGTTTGATAATGAATAAAAGTGACCTGCAAGGCCATTGTGCATTCTCACCTAAACGTCACACTCTGTCAGCAATACCGGCTATGCACAATGACATGCTGTGCCCTGCGGCAAAAGAGAAGAAAAGAAGTAAATGAAAAAAGAAAAATAGGCAGACACTGGGCAGAAGCAGAAGGCTCTGTATTCAGAACAAAATGTTTCACAGTGCAGTGATGGAGGTGAAGCGAGGTCTTTACTAAATCGAGAGGGAGGCGGATTAAGTAGCATTTTTGACAGGCCAAACTCTCCAAACAGATACATATTGTGGTATAAAAGAAAAGAGGACCAAATATGTTATTTAATTCACAAACGATTAAACATTTTGTTTTGATGTGGGTGAAGTTAATTGGAAATTCTAGTCAGTAAATTAAATTGTGTTATACTAAAGAACAACGTCCTCAAATTTGTTTTAATTATTAAGTCCACCTATAAAAGTGCATGGATGGGTAGAGGCACAATGTAGATTGCGCAGTAAATGTATTAAAGTATTAAATGCATGCTGGGCACACATTGAGCTGTGATTAGCTTTACGGCTTTATTGCTGAGCTGTGTCCTTTTTACCTTGACTACAAAAGGAAGAAAGGGAACATCATAGGTTGTAAGTCCCTCAACTACTATTCATTCAGCTGCCTGATAATAAATTGGAACTCAAGAGGGGTTATAAGGTGTTATAGGCTCAAAAAGAAAGTGTGTCATGTAAGGGCCTGGCTTTGCAGCTTGTCATCAAAAGGGGGTTGGGGGGGAGTACGAATAAAATGAGAAATTGCTTGCATTACTTGAATGATAAAGTATAGTGCCTATATGCTCAAGTGTGTGTGAATTCTTGAAGTTTGGCTCTGCTGAATGAACTTTTTCTCATCCAGCTTTATTTCAGGCTCTGCAAGGGAAGTCTTTGGTGATGACAGAATATTTTAGATTTAGTGAAAATGACTTTTGTAAGCCACTGAAGAACGTTGCATAGGCCCCCAAAGGATGGGAAAACAGACAAAAAAAGTTTACTTATTGCATCTGTAAAGTTGAAGCTAAGCTTGCTCTGTAATCTGTGAAATATTTTTAATCTACCAAATGTTGAAATACATTTTGATTTAATTAGCAGAAGTCTAACTCTTTACCCTTATCTACATTAATAATAACAACGTAATTCTGTCGTCATCACTCTGGCCCAATCATTTTCTGGCCCGCATTCTGTGAACCAGTCAGTCTCTGTTTCATGTGTTTCTAATGATAGCTAGATCAATTTATTTGTTCCCGTCAAGAAATTTGATTACAGCAGAAATCATTACACATTTGTATACACCATGTCAGTGGCGTGCAGTGACTTTTACACAAAGGCAAGCAGAAATGACCTCCGTTGTGCTGCCTGTCAGTACCCCACCAGGACGTCTTCACCTTTCTGCACTCCATCCTGGCTGAAGACTTAAATCGGTGTTAAATGGATTAGCATTACTGCTTCAGTATATGTTTAAGATTAATCTCATTATAAGTGCTTTATATTCTGTTTAATGTCCAGCATCATATCCTATAAATCATACGTTTATAGCAGCTGTCCTGAAAAAAAAATTGTTGCTCATGAGCTCAGAAACACTGATCTACAAATGAAATTTTTTTTTAAAAAGTATATTAAAATGTAACAATAGCAAAAAACGAACTGAATTAAAAAGGCTTGAGCATTGGGTGACATGGTTAACTGTCAACATTTGCTAGATTCAGACATTCTTATAAATGCTAACCTGAAAGTGCTGGTGAGCCTGCACCTGCTCAACTTAGACCGAATATGGTCAGAGCTGCTGTCTCCTCTCCATCATGGTTACGCCATTCCTTGTTAATCTACTATAGAAGAAACCGACTTTTTCATAGTGTATGCTGGCCAAGGTGTTTAGCAAGAGGAACCTCATCTGTTACGATGTCAAATGACTGAGGCTCATTTACTCACTAAATGAGTAAAACAAGTATTCTGTTCAGGAACATTTAATATTTATTATTTACTATAATTAATGCATGTGTCGGTTGTTGCTGTGGTTTGTCAGCTGTGTTGTTGTTGTCTTCTCTCTCTATCCATCTTCTTCTCCATTTTCCCTCTCCCTCCCCTTCTGATAACTTTCTCTCCAACTTCTCTTTCATTATTCTTTTCTTTTCCATCTCCCAGTCTTGTCCGCTGTAATTGTAAAAACTCAAAATAAAAAAACTCCTAATAAAGATCTAATAACTATTAAGAGGACCATTATAGCAAATGCCATAATGGTCCACTTGGAAAAGTTAATCTGTTGGGAATTTTTTTGGCCTTCATGCTAGAATTCTGGTTGCTACATGGACAGGACAGGACAAAAAAGAAAAGAAAAAAATGAATCAACAAAAAACATAAAGCACATGATGAGGCTTTCACTCTCCTTGTATTTTAAGGACGATTTTGGCCAGCTTGGCAGCCTATGTGTTGCTCATGTTCAGAAGTTTGATGGCTTGAGGAATAAAAGACCATTTGGACCTGTTTTTGGTGAACAATGGGTGAGCAACAGCACTGTGCAGATGGTAGAAATTCAAAGGAGGAGGCAAGTGGGTGTCTCAAATCACTCACAATGTTATTTGCCTGGTCCCTATAAATGTTTTCTAAGCTTGGTAATGCAATTCCCACCAAGTTACCAGCTATCGTTACTGTCTTTCTAATTGCATTTTCCACAACTCAGAGGCAGTGTCATTCCACCTGTCAGGTCTCATTCGTGCAACCTGCATCCTTCCTGCCTCCAGCTCATTCTGGCCAGTTAGAGATCCTCATCCAAGTCTCCACCTGCCACATTTCTTCCGCTACAACCAGTGTCGAGATTCCGGGGGGTCCTGACCTACTTCTACCACTTTGGACTCCACTCTGCTGTGTAACTTGGCGTAATCACCAAACAACTTTTTACTCAAACTCTGTTCTTCTATAAATCATGTCCAATTCTTTCGAATGATCTGTCCTTATTGAACTGATTCTCGGGACATTTGGGGACAGGAAAACAACCTTTGAACACAACAATATTTATAATTTGATACAGAGGTCTCATGAGCATGAAGTAATAGTTCTCATTTACTCCTGGTTTTGGTTGCCACCAGGTGCTGAGGGAAATACCTAGCCACTTAGCTGCTGAATGCACCGCTATGTTCACCTGCCAGTTTCTAATCGTGTTTGCTGGACATTTGATAGTGGGCAGATAAGGGCCAGTTGTTTTTAGACTGCAGGTGAGTGCACCATCTGAAATTTATATCACAGCAGTGAGAGTGTACCAAAAGAGCAAAGTTGAAGGGACATAGAGAATTGGGTATATTGAATATAACTGCAGTCTGGTAAAATATCTGTCTTTGTTAGTACAAATGTCTAATGAATCAAGCTTCTTTAATGCATGGCTTCTTTTTAATCTAGGGAAGGAATAGGCAGCATTTCTATCAAATATATATATATCAATTAAGTGCCAGCTTGACCTCACAATAATGTACCTTGACACTGCACAGTGGTTGAGACCTTTTAAGACTTTGAAATTAAATAACATTGAGTCTCTTTAGTTTTTCTGATAAAAAGATCCAACATCCACAACTATAAAGACAATTTTAAATGTCAAGCTGGTAAGTTTTAAGTAAGTTTAAGTAAGTTTTCACTTTTATGTTGAGTACTACTGATAGTTTAGATTGTCAGCTCTGGATTATGAAATATACCAGCCTATCTTTCTGAATACAGAGCTGCATTTCCTTCTTCCCTAGGTTTTCTGCCCTTTCTCTATAATTTTTCTTTCTTTTGACCACATGGGCACATATTTTCTAATGGCGACAGATGACATTGAAGCCAGGAGGTCTTATCCCTCCACCTTGGCATATGTCAGCTTCTGCACCACTGCAACACTCACCTGTTTCACCAGGATCCGGGAGACTAGGCTTCAGTCTCTAACTACTTTCCACTAAACTGTCTGACTTTCACTCAGCGTCCTAAGGCTGTCCATTTCAGTGATTCAGACTGCAGCCTCTGTCTTTGTCACTGTCTGAGTGCATTTAGGGGAAGCAAGGAAGACACTTCCATTGATATGGCCTGCAAAGCACATTGCCAGCCATCAGGCAAGTCTGTCACACATCAGTGCTTCTTCTCAGTGTTGTACGGCATTTAAGTGCATGGGCAAACTCGTGTGCATATATAGTGCAAGGCTGCAATGTGAACAAACTGCAAAGGCTTTGGACTGAGTTTGTCCTTGTCATTACTATTACGTTCTAATCAGTGCATTTTGTTAGACACCTTCAACTTGGATGGCAAAATGAATGGTGTGCGAATTAGTTTGATGGGTAGTACACAGAAATCAGACTCTAAATCAAACTCAGAGCAACATTTCTCATAAAGAGTTCATTTATCAAAGTGTTAATGTGTTAGAAAACATTTAGCAAGCATTGCTTACACATACAGAAGAAACAGAACAACATAAGCGTTCAGTTGGAAGTCTCTTTCTCACCACCTGTTGAATGAAGTCCAATATTCACTGGCACTTTTGCCACACTTTAGTCAGCCAACTCCTCAGTAAAACAGCTGCCTCCCTCTGGCTTCCTGGGTGTTCGGATGTGTTCACTAGCCACTCAAATAATTTGGCTTGCCATCATTTCACACTGGGCAGGAAGCCTACAATCAGATTGTGTGTGCATGAATGTGGCTGCCCACAGTTAAACATGGAGTTGGTGAGTCAGAAGTGACTTAACAATATAGAACAGCAAACTAAAACAGTATGTAGAAGTGGCTAAAAGGAATCGAAAACTGTAGTTATCGTATATTGGCGATAACGCCACAGTTATAACTCCTTCTCTTTAACTGTAAGTCTGAATGCAGGTTTCTGCAGGTTCACATCTGTCTGATTCAGCAAAACACAAATGCCTTCATTGATTTCACCACCATTTGCCACCACTTTTCCTGGCACAAGGAATATTGAAAGAGTAGACGTGACAGATTCCCTGCAGATTAAACTAAAATCGAGCACTGCAATTATTACAAACCACTTGATACACCCCAGTTAAATTAATCTTTTGTGAATTGGATTTTTCCCCTATTCCAGTCTGTCTTTGTTATATATTTCATTATTTCTTATTATTCATTCATTATCACATTTGTAACTCAGTTTGAAACATGTGCTCCTTGTGGTGTACCATCCACATATTTTCTGTCTGCATTAAAAGTCTGAAGCTAGGAACCAGCCAAAGTCTTAAATCGCTAAACTCTGGCAATATTATGTTAATATAATTATGTAAAAATACAAATGTATGTGTTATTACTCACAGTTTATCTCACACACTAGAGAACCTATTACCAACTGATAACTGCACACAAATGTTATGTTCTATTAATTGTTGATGAGTGAACACAATCTGGTGTAAGGTCCCAGCTATATGTAAAATACAGACAGATAAAATATATGATGTCCATGTAAAAAAAAAAAAAAACACACTGTGTGTCTAAATGTATGTTTTTACAAACTGATTTACAGATATTTAAACAAAAATCAACAAAAAAAAAAGCAGCCTAAGAAGACAAAACCAGACCTCCCTCTCCCCTCCTCCACTTGTCTGTGGGAAGGCGTTCCCAGGCCAGCAGAGAGATATAATCTCTCTAGCGTGTCCTGAGTCTGCCCCGGGGCTTCCTGTTAACCTCTTCCTTTGAATACTTTCCTGTATTTCCTCATTTCACCACTGACTCTTCTTGTCTTTTTCCAAAGGCACCAAACGCCTTCTTGGTAGTTACCCTCAGCAGTACAGCTGTACCTTCGCAGTTGTCTGGTAACTCTTCCCCATCACACAGTCTTTCTCAACTCTTCTCTGAATTCAGCACAACATTCTTCTTCTTCTTCAACTTTCACCACTAAATCCTTGCCTCTGCCTTCACCCTCTTCCTTCTTGATTTCCAAAGTCATCCTACAGACTAGCGTTCGATACTGCCTTGCTATACTCTCCCCTGACACCACCTTGCACTCTCTTCTCTCCTTCAGATGGCAACTTTTCTAGAGGATAAATCCAGCAGTGTACATTGTCATCCACTCTTTTACGTAACCCTATGTTCCTCCCAGTTTTTGAAGTACCTACCACAGGAATACTCTGGTTTGTGGCCCCACATGGCTGGTTTTATGTCTTTACTGTAATGTAGGTTTTAAAGATTGTATATGATAATTTCTTTTAATTGTTGATAAAGCACATAAGTTTGTTAAACTGTACATGTTTGGCTATGCTGTTAAACTTTGCTGGTGTGAAAATCATGGCCACTACAGTTCTATATGAGTATTTGCATACTCTTCCTGAAATTTGCACATGTAGTTTCCATACATTTATTTCCGGTTTTCCATGTTTTTTTTCGCCAGCAGACCAACATTACGATGCTAAATAATGTCATTAAACCATAAATGAATGAACACAATTCCCAACAATGGCAAAATATTCCAACAATCCTTAGTTTCACATGATGAGATACTGTTAAAAATCTTTCTGCCCTCTCTTTCTTTATATATATTTCTGTAGTTTAGTTGTTAAGCATGGCTCAAAGTGTAAAGTAAATATTATTATAATTACATATATTAAGAAGAAACTTTAGATTGTGTCTTAAAGTTGGTGTAAGTATGGTGCAAAACTGTGCAGCTCACCAAAAGCGATACGGCATGAATACAGAAAACAGAAGATTTTACAGATTCCCATTTAAAACATCCTCATTCCCCTCCCATGTCAGTGCAGATATAAATTGCCACCCCTCCCTGGGTGATCTTACTATTCCTGAGTTAATGGGCCTTGTCTGTTCCTTCTTCTTTCTTTTAGCTGGCTCTATAGAGCCCCAAACCATCCCTGCTCCCACAGCCCACTCCTCTCCATGACCCAACCGCACATATCCTCCAGGGCACACTCCAGTGGGTCCCTGGATCAATTCATTTCATGCCCTTCACTCCGCAGGCCACAAATCTCTCTTTCATTCTTTTGCCATCTTTCCCTGTGTACACTATCGTGATCTGCTTGATGTACGTTGTCCCATTTACCGTGCCCGTGATGTCAATTTCTGATGTCGGCGCTTTGTTTGTATCTCCTCCCTCGGCTCCTCCTTTCATATCAGTTATTTTCTTCTTTCTTTCCTATTCCTTCGCTTCCTCTCTCACTTATCTTTTACAGCTTTCTCCCTCTTGCACAGCTCTACTATCTGTTTACCCTTCCTCTTTCTTTCCAAATCCCCCAATGTGCTTTATTGGCGTGTGCAATTCATTGCCAGCACATTTCTCATGGTTGAGGTGCAGCACCACATTGAAATATAATATAGAATCTGTCATGCAAAAACATTACAGGAAATAAATATTTATTCTCTACTCTTCATCGCTGCTGCCTCCATCTTCAGCTGTTCCCCTCCAAGACCTCCCTTTCTCCATCTTTCTGTCTCACTCTCTCTATTTTCTCCATAATTTCTTTGACTGCTCTCGTTCCAGCCTGCACTGGGTTAGGTCCAAACCTGCGCCTGTGTTCAGCCGGTGAGGAAAAGGCCCTTGTTTATCAAAGAAAAACACTTCTGAAAAATTGATGCTCCATATCAAAGACCTCGCTTCTTTATGAAAAAAAATAATCAATTTCTGTGGTGCAAGCCAGACCAAACAACCATAAAGCTGATATGTGTTCGGCAGTCTCTGTGGGAATGGTTGAAACACTACATTTAAGCAGATAAAAAGTAATATTGCAGAATGTGAAATGATGAAACACCAAAATTAATACAACCGTCAGTTGTCATGTATTATTTCACACATCTTTCTAAATTTGTCCTCAATGTCTTTGTCAGGGGCAATACATATGCGGAGAATCTGAATTAAAATATCAATTATGTTCACAAACAATAACGCAGGATTGGGCTCCTTGATTACATTGTGCCAACTTGTTTTATTGCACTTCTGTTTTTTCACAAGGAAAAATGAAAACACTTTGCTCAGGCTGAACTAAAATCAGTATTGAGTTAATTTGCTTTCTAAGGCAGACACCCACAAAGCAGCCCAAACAATTATAACCTAATCCTAACAGCAAAAGGCTTTGTGTAGCTATCTTAATTAGAGTGCCCATTCTTTATCTCGCTC